TTAGCCTTTAAGGCCTTGTTATACTTATTAATAAACTTTATATAAATTATTACTATATTTACTTTAAGTATAGTCTTTAGGGGTTTTTTTAACTTTTTTAAGTATAAGTAAATATTTTTATTATAGGTTTTAATAAGTACTTGCGCCCTAAACTTTAAATTATTAAAATATAGGCCTAATTTTATAAAGTAAAGTCCCTAAAAAGTGGTATTTTAAGTACCTTATTATTTAATTAAAAAATACTAGGTGGTATAATAGCCCTGGTTTATAATTAAATTAACCTATATATATATAAATTTTTTAAAATTTACCTAGGTTTACTTATTATTTTAAAATTTAACTTAACTTTTTTAATAATTACAGGCGTTTTTTAAAGCGTTTTAAATAATAAATATAATTTTTTTATTATTTATTTAAAACCTTTTAAAAGCACTATAAAAGTAATTTTTTAAATTTTTAAACTAAATTTTAAGCTTTATTATATTTTTTTTTTTAACTTTTTAACCTTTTTAAACTTAATCTTAGGCTCCTAAAAAGCCTTTTTTTTTTAATAAAGTTTATAATTTTTAATAGCCTTTTAATACCTTTTTTATATATATTTAAAACTTTTAAACCCTTTAAAGCTAGCTTTATTAAAACTAGGTTTTAAAAGTAAAGTAGCTTTAGGATAATAACTTAAGTTATTTAAGCTTAATTTTAAATTAAAATTAAAAAAATTACTAAAATTAATTTTTTTAAAGCTTGCTAAAAGCATTAACAAGAAAATTAATATAAGAATTAATAAAAAAATTAATATAAAAATTAATAATTTAATACTATTTTAACTCTAGGTTGCAGGGGTAATTTCCCCTTATTTTTTTTAAAAAAATATTCTAATTTTAATATATAATATTAATTATATTAGGGTTAAAAAATAAATAAGTTAAAAGTTATAATCTTAGGCCACTCCCCCTTTAAAATACCTTTAATTATAATAAATTTTAAATTAATAGGGTTTAATAATAATATAAAATAATAGGGTAAAGGGTATATTTTACCTTATGCTTTATTAAGCTAATAAATTAAATTATTTAAGTTAGGTTTTTTTTTTTAACTATTTTTAATAATAATARAATTTTTAAGTATAAATAAAAAAGGGGATACTTTTTTAATTATTTAAGTTTAGGTTTTAAAAACCTTAACTAAAATATTTATAAATTATTTTTACTTACCCTTTAAAAATCTAGTTTAAAATATTATTATTAAAAAAGTTTAAAAAGTAATAAGTAAAAGTAACTTTAATTATAAAATTAATAAGTTTTAAAAATCTTTACTAATAATAAAAATATTAATAAAAAAATTTAATTAATAAAAATAAAGTATTTTAAACCTTGTTAAATAATACTAAAAAAGTTACTTAAAAATTTTAATAAAGGCTAGCTTTAAGGCTACTTTTATAAACCTTTAAGTTATACTTAAGCTATTTTTAATTAAAAAGTAAATATAGGTTTAAATACTTTACACACGGGTTTTTATTTTAACTTATACTTAAGGCCTACCCTAGCCTTATTTAATTAATAATTAAAATTTTAAATACTAATAATTTAGTTAAGTTATATAACCTAATATAATAATAAAGTATGCCAAGCCTTAGTAGCCTAAGGCCAAAGCTTAGGTTACCTAAGGTGCCAACTCTAGACTAACAGTGGATTAGCTCCGGTAACATCAAACAGAAAAACGTTGGCCCTGACACCCGGGGGCTGGATAAATATAGTTATTAAAATTATTAATTAATTTATTATTTTTATATGCTTAAATATACTTTACACACCGCAAGTAAACCTATTTTTTATTAGCTAATATTTATATTAAAGCTATTTTACTAGCAAACTAGTTAAAAATAAGGTATATTTATAAAAAAAAAAAGGCTAGAAGCTAAAAAAAAAGCTTAAGAAGGTAATAATATAAAACCTATAATAAAAGTATTAATAAAGGTAAAGGCTAATATAGCGCTAGGTAAAATAAAAAAAGGTAAGTTAAAAGGCGCGGGGGCTATAATTAAATAATAAAATAATTATTATAAAATTAAAAGTTAATATATTTAATAAAGCACCGGCGGAGCGCCACTAGTTAGTAATTATTAAAGTAAAAAAAACTTACTAAATTATTACCTATAATTTTATTATATATTTTAAAGGTGCTTATTAAATATAAGTTATATTAATTATTACTATTATTATTACCGCCTAAGAATTAATTAAAATTAAAGTTTTTAAACCTAAAGAAAAACAGGGGTAAAAAAAAAATTAAAAATATTAAAAGCTTTTAAAGTTAATAAAAATACTATATTAAAGGGGTTCCATAACTATACCATAATAAAAGTATAAAAAATAAAAATAAAAATATTTTAAATTACTATAGTTATAGCTAGGTGCTTTTTTTTTACTTACTAAAAAGCCAGGGCAGCGCTTAAAAGGGCTTTTTTTTAGTTATAATAAAAAAGGGTAACTTTTTATTTAGTAAAAAATTTAATAAGTTTAAAAGTTTATAAAACTATAAATTATATTATAATTTATACTTTTATACTAAGTATTATTAAAACACTACCTTTTCCCTTTTAGTTATAAATAAATATTATATTTTATTTAAAGCGCTATAAATAATAAAAATAAGATATTAAATTTAATATATTAAATAATACTTTAATAAAATTAAGAATAGTAATAATAAAGTTATATTTAATATTAATATTAATAATAATAGTGGTATTTTATTATTATTTTTTTTTAATTTAGCAGCGGGTCGCGGACAACCCTTTAATTAAAAAAAAAAAAATTATTAGGGCTAATATTTTTTTATTTAATATTATTAAAGCTAATTTATTATTAATTTAAAATTAATACTTTAAGTAACTTAAGCTTTAGCTTTAGGCTGCTAAGGCTTAGTATACCTTATTATTATATTAGGTTATATAACTTAACTAGGTTATTAATATTTAAGGTTTTAATTATTAATTAAGCAAGGCTAGGGTAGGCCCTAAGTATAAGCTAAAATAAAAACCCATGCATAAAATATTTAAACCTATATTTACTTTTTAATTAAAAATAGCTTAAGTATAACTTAAAGGTTTATAAAGATGGCCTTAAGGCCGGCCTTCTTCTTAAATCTTTAAGCAACTTTTTTAGTATTATCTAACAGGGTTTAAAATACTTTATTCTTATTAGTTAGATTTCTTTGTTAATATCTTTATTGTCAGTAGAGATCTTCAAGACTTGTTGGTCTTACAGTGCACGTCTCCGTACGCGGTTAGCTTCAATGGTGCCTGGATGGATCTGAAGAAACAAACAATGACATAATGATGGGGAGGAGAGGGTCTGAGTGAGATCAATCTCATCAACAAGGCATCGAAATCAAGATAAACTATGGAGACCGAGACACTCAAACGGACCACGGCCCACGGCCCAACGGCGTACGATGCGTCGATGCCAAGTTACTGTAGGTATCTTATTCTGAGTTCCTTACTCCGTACCCAAGCAGGTACTCCGTAAAATGGCCCTGTTGGAATAGTGGTATTGTCGAAATCTAGCCAGCCCACCGAGCCCAGCGAAGCCTCACTGGTCAGGGCCTCAGGGGTAGACCTAGACCGGACTGAGAAGCAAAAACTTCTCCCTATGACCCTGTCAAATCGCAAGTAGTTCCCAGGCGATTCGGGTGGTAAAATAATGGGCAGAGAGGAGTTAATTTGAACATTCCAGTGAGAGTCATGGTCAGCAACGCTCCCTGGATAGTCGCCGCAGTAACTGCCTCGATCCCTTGCACAGGCAGGGCAGAGTCAAGACAAGGTCAAGGAAATATGAATTGTCAATTAAAAATGATCTTCTCGCTAGACAGAGCGATTTTTGACAAGAGAGCTTGTTGCCAAGATTGTGGTCGGGGTATTGGAGAAAAGGGAAGGCTGCCCATTGTTGTATCCGCTGTCGGGCCCAGAAAAGATTCATGAGGCGAATCATTATTCTACAGTCAACAGCATAGTAAGCGAACAGACTCATCTATTGTAGCAATAATGGAAACAATAGTCGCTCAATTCAATATAAATATTGATCTGAAGCTATAGTGCTTCGTAGGCGTTCCTGGCAATATTGCCCAGAGATTTAGGGAGAGGCGTATTGCCCATACGCTCCGGCCATACCCAAATGGTGTTGGTCGCTGTCACGACTCACTTTCCTCTAGGCGCTCTCAGGCGCTTCAATCGCTCTCTCTCACGCCCATCTCCCCGTTACCCACTCACCGTCCTTCGGTGATCTCCATCTCTCTGTTTCCCTCTTCCTTTGCTTCACTTACCTATCCTCCTTTTATCCCCCTTGACCTATCCCACCACTGCTGGTGCAGTTGTCCAGACTGCCGCGCACCCAGCTGGCAGATTCCTCCCTTTCAATTCTATCCGGGGCCCTTCCTCTCAATCCTTGACCGTCCCGGAGGTTTCACGTCGATAATCGACACCACGTCCGCACCCTGGCTCGAGAGTCGAGACTCACGTCCCGAACGCTCCGATTAACCTCCTCTTTCTGATTCAACCTCTCCGCGTACCTCGATCTCGTTTCTCGAGCTTAATTTTGCGATTTCCTTGTCGTTGTCCGCGATTCGGGTCGTCGTACGTCGTCTTGCATATCGTTCTCACTGGATTATTGCATGAATGGTATAGCATAGCACCTCTCGGGCGTCCCTGTAAGCCATCTTTTCTCGTGGTTTCCCTCTGCCCACCGTGCACCTTTGGCTCATACTTAGTAGCCTTCATTTGCTTGCAATTCATCGAGTCTCCCGCAAGTTCGTCCGCCGTTAAGTTCGACTCGCATCGTCCGCCTAGACATGGCTTCCTCGTCGTCCAACGTGGTGGGTGTCCACTACAGAGTAGGAAAGAAGATCGGTGAAGGGTCTTTTGGTGTGATCTTCGAGGGTACAAATCTCCTGAACAACCAGCAGGTTGCCATCAAATTTGTGAGTCCCGTTCGGCTTTCGATTGAAGGACAATGACTAACAGTACCAGGAACCCCGGAAGAGCGATGCTCCTCAATTGCGAGATGAGTACCGGACATACAAAATATTAGTTGGATGCCGTAAGTTTTCGCCAGTATAATGGGGGTCACTGACTGACTTGTCCAGCTGGCATTCCCAATGTCTACTACTTTGGTCAGGAAGGTTTACATAACATCCTTGTGATTGACCTACTCGGTCCCAGTCTCGAGGACCTTTTCGATCATTGTAATCGACGCTTCTCCGTGAAGACCGTCGTTATGGTCGCTAAGCAAATGGTGAGTGGATATCTGACTACATCGAAATTAGTTCTCACCTCTTTAGCTCTCCCGAGTCCAAACAATCCACGAAAAGAATCTGATCTACCGTGATATCAAACCCGATAACTTCCTCATCGGCCGCCCGAACTCCAAGGCCGCCAATGTGATCCACGTCGTCGATTTCGGAATGGCCAAGCAATACCGAGACCCCAAAACCAAGCAACATATTCCCTACCGTGAGCGAAAGTCGCTGTCCGGTACAGCGCGCTACATGAGTATTAACACCCACCTGGGACGCGAGCAGTCGCGACGAGATGACCTTGAGGCTTTGGGCCACGTTTTCATGTACTTTCTTCGAGGTGGCCTGCCGTGGCAGGGCCTGAAGGCTGCCACCAACAAACAGAAGTACGAGAAGATCGGGGAGAAGAAACAGACAACCGCTATCAAGGAACTGTGCGAAGGATTTCCAGGTCGGTGTCATCTTGTGTTTTTTCTGAACATGCTAACCTGGTCCAGAAGAATTCACCAAATATCTTAGCTATGTGCGCAACCTTGGTTTCGAGGATACTCCCGACTACGATTACCTGCGGGACTTGCTTACCCAGGCCCTCAAGAACGCTGGAGAAGTTGAAGATGGAGAATACGATTGGATGAAACTGAACAACGGTCGAGGATGGGAGTACAAGTCGTACTCGTCTCAGCAGGCCCTCCAGAACTCCGCCATCCATACTTCTGCTAGAGATCTCCATGGGCAGCAAATTCGCAACAGCTCCAGACCGGGTGTGACCGCTGACCGTTTAAATGCCGCGCAACCCCCGCCCCCGTCTCCTGCGAAACCCGGAGCCGGGAAGACGCGCGAGCCGCAAAACGTCAGAGGCGGCATACCGCCGAAACGCCAGAGCGGGGGATTCGATGCGACACCAGCCGCGTCGACAGTGGCACAGTTCCAGAACTCGAACGCCAATATCTCGGGGCATCGAATCGGCAGCCCGGCGACCCCAGCGAAGAGCCAGCCAACCCCAGGCGGCCAGCAGGCGAGCAATGAGCCGCAGCCCACCTTTATCCAGAAGGTGATGAAAGCACTATGCTGCGGTAGGTGATCATTCTGCTGCCCCCACGTGTGTCTGTCTGCTCATTTCGCCCAAGGTTGAATGGTTGACGCACCGCTGTTTTGAGTACGGAATCTGTAATTCTACATAATATCTCTGTCGGGTTGGGGTCTCGGTCCTTCTTTCTTTTTCTTGTTTCGGGAGGGCTGGGGGACTGCATGGCCTATACTGTCATGGTTCGAGTCTCGCTGCTTGTCTGAACAAACCGATGATATCGCACCAGCAGGTGGTCACTGTGTGGAAGGGGCCGGGTATATATTTCTCATCATCGACGGACCGGTGAGCAACTGCTCATCCTGTTGCCTATCGTCAAGGCCAGTTGGATTCTGAACGGGCTGGACCTCTCGGAGCGACCATCCTTCACCATTCTTCTACATATTCTCTCGTCATTATGCTCCCATCACTCGTTATGGTGCTACGGCTTGGAACGGCGAACTTGAGCTTCTTATTCGTTTTTGCGTGTTTTGGCTGTCTCTATTCGTGCACTCTTTGACCTGCATCTGTGGCAAGAGCCATTTAATTCTTTCTAGATTTCGTCTTGATTCTAAGTATATGAGCACCGCGCGAGTTTCTCTGACTTTCTCACGAGTCACCTCAGTACGACCCGTCGCGGACGGAGTATTGTGGTGAAGTTAATGATGGCAGAAAGGCGTTTTGGCATCCGATGGATAAAACCTCGCATTACAAGGCAGTCCACTATCTACGTGGCATTTTGAGCATCTAAGTGTTTCGCTTGACCTGTCAATACCTGCAGATTGTTCTCATCGACAAGGAGTTGCAAGGTTCTGTTCTGTTTCCGCTTTCAAGTCTTTGTCATTGCGCATCTGCTTTCCTTACTTTTGATCGCCTGTCTTTTCCTCTCATTATCAATTCTTCCTCAAGCGGTTGAGTATTTAAGCATAGATTCATTACATTGGTACCTTTATCTTTCGCTTGCCTGGCGTCGAATTGAATGGTGTATAACCGTAGGGTTCAGAGGGTCGAATTGGAACGCCCCCTTTGCTTTCATCCATGGTCATTATAGGTGCCGTGGGGGTTAAGCTGTAGGCGCTGAATACGCCATCTGGCCTGCATGTAATCGGAATCACCTGTCCTGGTTCTCATGAAAAAAATGGACCATGTCTATTCTGATAGTTACTTTGTTTGCTGTAAGGTATGCCAATGCCGTGGGCCTTCGTAAACTAGCAAAGTGGGTAAAGCTTGATTATATGCAGACTGAAAGCTGTTTAATTTTATATATTATAGACCGCGGTCTGAAATGAATTTATGCTCATCCCTGGGTACTTTGTACGCATTCGAGATAACGTATGGCCTTTGCTTTGCATATATGAGAACTGCTTTGTCCGGGTATGCACGCTTTAATCCACGTATATAGCATACAATATAACTGTAAACATATGGACATGGCCCATAATGGGGGTATAACAGCAGAGAGCAGGGCATCTGAAAGCCTATCTCCTTCCATATTAACTAGGAAGCGTCTGGATATCTTCGAAGGAGAAGGAGAGACAGAGCGTATACTTCGCAGGGTATGCACTGCGTGCATCTGGGTATAATAGTTAGCTAGCGAGATGACCTCCCTTACCATTCGGATTGCTTCTCCCTCTTACTTTCTTTCTTCACGACCCTGGGAATTCGAAGTAAACGGGGCCAGAAGCCACCAATACGCATTTCCGAGCCATCGGTACCGCAGTTTTTCGCGCAAAGACCGGCAGCAAGCAAAGCCAGGCAACGCCTTCGCTCCTCAGCCAGTATCCGACGGCCGAGACAAGACGGTGTTCCGTACCCCGATTTCAACACCGAACAGAGCCCGAAGAAATAGATGATAAAGAAACCCCTTGTCTGACTCCGAGACGGAGTCTCCGGCCGTTGGCATGACTAGCTAGCTCACACAAGGTCGGCGATCCCGTTTGCCAGTAGAAGGGAAGGTTGAGTGATTGGATGATGTGGTTAGGATCCATGAGCTGCCGAGCCGAAGACACAAAGACTGACGGGGGGCTGCAGACACATGATCGACTTGACCATGGCCCGCCGGGCATCAGTGCGACAGCCAAGTTGGCCATGGGATCTGTAGGGTCGATATGGAAGCTCAGCAAAAGTGCAGGTCTGGCGGTTGAGGATGACGTTCCAAGACGAAGCGCGCAGGCCACATACCAGCTTGACGGGACTAGCACTTTCCCTTCTGAGCTTTTGAACCAAGCAGTCGGGATTCTGGCGTACCTCGGATTATTTTGGAGTGGGAAAGGCAGCAGGATTTCGCAACGATCTGTGCTGGATTGGCTCAGGTGACTATCTCGTTCTTTGTTCTTGTCGCATGTGTGACACGGGCATCGATGCCGGACGTTATTGAAACGCTGGCCGGCCGGGTTAACGCCTTGACAAGGTTAGTGGCACTGTGGCAGTCTGCTGGCCGGGAACCGAATAGCGGGGTTGGACTTAAGCTGTTGTTCTCGGACTTGAGTGGAGGCTCGTGAGACACTGACTCTTGAGTCTTGAGGGATTCCCGGCGCCTCCGTGCTCTGAAGCCTCTGATTCATTGGGCGTTGAAGAAATAATGGCGGGGGCGGGGTTTAGCCGACGCCGACTATTGCCAGATTCCAGATTCCGGAAGGAGTTTGATCCCGGAATTCTATTTCTGGTACTAAAACTGGGGTTAAGCTGGGTTGGTGTTGGAAGGGAGGTAGGGCTAAGTACCTGAATCGTCGTCATCCGGGGAAGCTGTACCATCTGAACCATTCAAGGGGGAATTGGGTCAGACAGAGAGTAGTGTCTAGTGCTTCTCATCCTGCATGTGCATGTGACACTTCATATATCACAACCTATGTGTGAGTAAGCTCAGGTTGTCTGCTACAAGCCTACCAGAAACCGCCAGCTCCAAGCTCCTTGGCTCCGTAGTCCATAAACTACAGCGGGAATTACAGGCATGCCCATCCTGGATCGACGTAAGACGGCCTTGACCCATTTTCGCACAGGTTGGCGCTGGGCAGACAGGGAAGAGACGGGAACCCCTCCAGTAGCAGCAGCCCAGTCCCGTTTCAGATGCAGAGTGCAGAGTGCAGAATAATGCGGGCGGGGGTTCTGACACATCTCCGAGCTAACACAGCAAGGAAGTGCAGTAGCTTCTGCTTCTAGTGCCCTGTTGACAATCGGCCTAACGTCTGCGCCGTACTGACATTGCGCAATGAACTGACGGTCTGGTACAAGCAGCGACGGGAGCTTCATGCAAATGCCGTCATTGTGCAGACGTCCAAGGCCGCTTTGAGAGCTGCTGTCACTGCAGTGACGAGTCTTGGGGATGCGCGGTGCTAATGGCCTGCTGTGTAGACTAGGCCGGCAGATGGGATAGAGCGGGGAACCTTAGCAGGAAACTCCAGTGCTGTACGGAGTACCTTAGAGTGAGCTCCAGCCTCTGGCCTCTAGCCTCGCGAGCTCAGTTCCATCGCAAAATCCTTTGTCTCCCTATTCCGCCGGAGTCCGCGGGAAACCAGATCACTTGTGGCTTGGATGTTGCACCGAATGTAGTGCGTGGAGGGAAGGTCGGAAGATGCCGACTCACGTGACTTGAGACTCGCAATCACGATTCACGACTGTCGAGAGTCGACGGGAGTCTTATCCGGACGATGAACGACAACTGTCAATGATCTTCATTATATACTGGAGTACCTACATAAGATCATCGTCTCATCTCCGTCTCCGTCATCTCCGTGCGTGGTCGTTTCAGTGCTAACCCTGTAGGGTAGTAAGGGTCATCCGTCCAGGTCCCATAGGGCCTTGGAAGCACAGGTACAGTAAGGCTATCAGAGGCGAGCTCCGTGGATCGCAGCGGCAGAGGCACAAACGAAGCAACAAAAGATGGAGGAAGTTACATAAAAGATTTCTACCTCCGTATCAACAGTGTGGAGCAGTGCAGGCTCTGGGCAGACTGGAATGTTTCATATGACTGTGTCTTCCCCACAGAAAGTCTAGAATCGAAGTTTGTTTCCCGGATAACATCGGGGTGGATATCAGGCTCATCAGGCAATGCTGCCATTATTGTTGATAGGAAGTTAGGAACCATGTCCAGGTGGCAGGCTGCTAGGGATGTTAAATGACAAATGTCATGTCGTATTTGTCCGCCCATACGTCCGACATGGGTTGACACAAAGTGATCGGACATGTCCGATCAGCGCCCCACCTTCCCTAAAAAGAACAATTATTGAAAGCTTGTAAGCTACTAGGCCAGGCAGAGAAATTCTAGGTAAATCTGAACTCTTTCAGGACTAGCTCAATTCACCTAGTCACGTGCATGTTTATAAAAAACATGGACATGATCGACATTTGAACATCCCTCCAGGCGGCAATGTTGTTGTGCCCTGAGCCTCCGACTTTCTGAGTTTGCAGCAGTAGTACTCTGCTTACTGCAAAAGTAAACCTAATCGCAGAATTCGGCTTGCAACCGGGGGACGCGGTGGATATACTCCGCGGTGGTGGATCGCTGCAGAGTCGAGATTCCAGGGAAACCGGTTTGGACTTTGAAGTCAGATAGACCTGAATTCCGAAATCAAAGACACCCTTAGTCCAGTTCTTACTCAGATGTGGCTCCAGCCTTATGCCCAGCCGAAAACTTCGAGAAAAGGGATAGCATTGATTTCGGAGAATCCAGGAATCTAATAATACTCCGGCTCGCTGACTGTTAGACTACTTGATATAGCGCACGTTACATCGCCACCATTGCCCGATTCTTATGTCGAGCGTTATCATTATGTGGCGGTTCTACTGTAGTGATTCCAGCGTTCTAGAATCTGGTGCCGGACCTGACCAGTGTCCAGTGATGATACCTATTACCCAGACGGTTAGAGGAAGGACCTTGGTTAACGTCTGATCATGCGGATCATGGTGGGCTGAGCCACAGACTCTGCGTTCCCAACTTTGAAGAAGATCTGCGCCCTCAGATAAACTCACGCAACTCCCAAATAATGACGTCTGGGCTTGTTTGGTTGCTGATACGGATTTATCGCCTCGGCCTTTGTCATGATCGAGTCTTCTGCTGTGTCACTGCATTATTGCCACGCAAACCCCACGCTGACTGGTTGGGCGAATCGAACTGGAGATCCTCTGATTAGCGGACGCGGTTCAGGGTTTCCTTGGAAGCCAGAGCTAATAAGGGGGTCATTCTAGGGCTCAAGACCGCTCGCCCTTTCTTGCAAATTCTCTGCCTGTTCTGCCGGCTTCTGGAAAACGTTAGCCTCCTTTGCTTTTTTTTTTTTTTTTTTTTTCTTTTTTGCTTCCTTCATAGTTTCGCCGCAGCGGCCGCCGCACGCCAGCCACAAGCGGTAGGACTCCACCCATATCTCTCTATGAGTCGGATTCATGATGCACGGGGAGCTGACTATGAGTCTATGAGTTATTGATCTTGTAAAGAATCATACTTCGTAGGTTGAGTCTGTACAGATTATTATGCAGTAGAACAGAGACACCTTGCAGGCCTGCCGCCGGTGAAAGTGCAGCTGGTGTTATTGGTGAGTGGTGAGAGCTCTGTACCAGCATACTAAATGTTTGATCAACTACATCTCAGTGTTCTTTGTTCCCTGAGGAGCACGGAATAGAAGAATCAACTGAGTTGACAGAGTAAACTCGTTGTTCCGGCTCCAGCCCTTG